ATTATGAGATACTGGTGGATTATTACACTAACAACTTCCTAGGAGAAAGTCAGCAAAGGATTACAGAGGAACTGGCCTTTACATACCCCTCTCTGGTCTTTCAGGAGAAAAATTAAAGTAGCTAATGTATCACATACCTCACTTTGAAAAGTTTAAAAAGCTTGAAAAGATTAGTTTTCTCACGTCTTCTTAGTGAACAGTAAAACAGAGGTGGAACTATGTGAAAGTGCATTTAAAAGTGAGAATCGGATGCACTTCTTTACACAAAGGGTGGTAGGAGTGTGGAACAAGCTGCCTAGCCATGTTTTTGAAGCTGACACTCGAGCTTCTCTAAAAAAATATCTGGATGAGATCCTCCAGTCAAGAAAGGAAGACACGTCTTTACAAAAAGGGTGGTGGGAGGGTGGAACGAGATGCCTAACCATGTGGTTGAATGTAATTCTTGGAAGCAGCTGGGTGAGATCCTTACATCAATTAACAACCCACCACCAAATGGGCTGAATTGCTGCCTCTTCTTTGTAACCGCTCTTGTGATCACAGAAAGAATGGGAAAATCTTGGAACAGACAAGAATCTTTTATTTGCATGTCACCACTACAAGTACTTCAGCAGCTACCCCCGAGGCAGCAAAGAACTTGAGAGACACCTAACAATTGTTCGCACATCTGGCAGCCTCCATTCCCTTGACTGCATGTGTGGCTGACGTCCAGCAGGTGGCGCTTGAACGGCAGTTGTGTTGCATGTTCAGAAACGGTGAGGTGCCAGTACTTTATACAGTCAACGTTGTCCAAATGAATACATGTAAATGCAAGATGGATTCCAGAGCTCCGGGGTGGGGGGACGGAGCAGAATCTTTCTGAATGGGGGACGGGGGCCGAGTGGTGGTTCTGTGGCTCAGGATCTGCGCCTGTGGCTGGAAGGTTGCTGGTTCAAATCCCGCAGCCGGCAGAGGAATCCTACTCCCTTGGGCTCCTGAGCAAGGCCCTTAACCCCAGGGGTGCTGTACAATGGCAGACCCTGTGCTCTGACCCCAGGCTCTCTCCCTGTCTGTGTGTCTCATGGAGAGCAAGCTGGGGTATGCAAAAAGATAATTCCTAATGCAAGAAATTGTAAGGGTTAATAAAGTGATGTTGTTATTATTAATAATGTGTAGCATCACTGG